AAGTCAAACTGGATTGCAGAGTTAAAAACATTAAAATGCTCCTTCCCGAAGGAATGGCAGCAAGTTCTAATTAACGAAACTCTATAAAGAGTAAAATCAGTATTTGTAAGGATAATTTTGAGATGGGGAAATAAACAAATACAAACAAAAGATATCTATAATATAATGTTATATAATAGTTTAGTAGATCAAAATTATACACAGCCAATTCGTATCAATATCTGAAAAAAATATAAGTTCAAGCTAGGTCGAGTCACCTGCAGTCTTTTTACAATACAACATTTTACAAACTCCACAACTGGTGTAAACTGGAAATATACCTTTCTTTATTCACATTTTATATTTTCATATTTTTTTAAACCTTGAGCGATCCAGTTCACCTTTTCTATTTTTCAAAGAACGGGTATTAGTTAGATGAACAATGCATAATATTACAGATTAATTGTTTGTTATCATGTTTGTTGTTTTTTATTAGTATACGTGGCATGTCGAATGAAAACAACGCATGCATTTCTTTTCCTCTTAAATCTTACAAAAAAATCGTTTAGATTATGATGCATCACTTTGTGTATCATCATCATCTGAAAAATCATCTAAATTTCCATTATGTCTTTATTAGTATTTTTGTCTTTAAAAAATGTCGAAAAATACCAAAGCAATATTCGAACTTTAAAGTCAAGGAGAAACGGACAACGCCAGGGCAAAAACGGAAAAACAACCGAAAGACAAAAAACAGTCTACAGAACACACAGTAGAAAACTAAATAAACTTCAAATCTTAAACTGAGCAACACTAACCAATCCAAAAACCAGGGGTAATCTCAGATGTTCCGGAAGGGAAGGCATATTAAGGAACTCATTATTTTCAACAAATTTTTTTTACATAATGACATGACTTATTTTATCGGTTCAAAAATCTTTAGAAATTAATATTGGTTAACTGCATACCTTTGAAACAAAAGAGAGACGCAAACTGTTTTTTTCGTTTTCGTTCATTTAACCGTATACATTTGTCAATCTTATACATATTGTAGTCCTGTCATGTAATGTTGTCATTTTAATGTTATATTTAACATTGCCATAAAAGCGGGAGGTTTGGCTAGCCACAAAACCAGGTTCTACCCTCCATTTTTTTTCTGAAAATGTCCTGTACCAAGTCAGGAAAATGGGCATTGTTATATTATAGTTCGTTTCTATGTGTGTTACATTTTAATGTTGTGTTTCTGTTGTGTCGTAGTTCTCCTCTTATATTTGATGTGTTTCCCTCAGTTTTAGTTTGTAACCCGGATTTGTTTTTTTCTCAATCGATTTATGAATTTCGAACAGCGGTATACTACTGTTGCCTTTATTTATACAGAATGACAATAACTGTACATATCTATACTGAAATGACAAATCTTGGAAAAATTACATATATGGGCCAAGTTCACGTAAAGTCAAGTCACCTGCATTCCTTTGACATTAAAGTGACCTCACAAAATTCTCAACTGGTATACACTGAAAATGTTCTGTTTTCAATACTATTAGTAATATGTTTTAAAAACTTAATTAATTACTCCATTAACGATACATGTAATGATGATGATGATGATGATGATGATGATGATGATGATGATAATGATGATGATGATGATGATGATGATGATGTGCTGCTGCTGCTGACGACGACGACGATGACTTTTATAATAATATAAAATAACTGTCATGAATCATTGAATTTAAAACATGTACCATTGGGAGTACAGCAATCAATCAATCAAACACTAATCAATCAATTAATCAATACAGCGTCCTTTTCAATATTTAACAGTAAAAGTGAAGTGAGCTCTATATGACCCGAAAGAAGCTTTGCTTGTCAAGCAAGTTATGCCAAAGAGCACTAGGGATGAAATTACCGAAAACAAGTTTACATTATTACCGTAATTTGTCTTAAGTGGTCTACAAGTCAATTCGAAAAGAATAAGTTTGTCGTAACAAGTATAAAGTTCATCATCAATTGTCAAACTTGTACAAAATGACAAAAACGGTTAACAAGTTAACTGAAAAAGACAAATTGTGGAAACACACATAAATGGACCAAGTTCACGCCAAGTCGACTCCCCTTCAGTCACTTAGTACATCTTTGACATTAAAGCGTCTGTATTAACCATGCTAACTTCACAACTGGTATAAACTGAAAAATACCTGTCTTAATTCACAATCATATTTTATTTAACCTTGACAGATCCACTACACTTTTTTTTATGCTTTTCAAACGAACGGGTGTCAGTTGGATGAACCATGAAACATGTATTTTTTTATAAATCTTGTTTGCCAGTCGTTTGTTATTAGTATGTCAACCGTGTCAAATGAACACCACATTTATTTTCTTCCTAAATCTTACAACAGATTTTTTTTATTCATACATTTATCAGTATCATCTAACAGTGCTTCTACATTTATAAATGATGGTCTGAATGGGTAGAGGAGGGGTCCTCATTACGGCATCCTTTAAACATTAAAGCTAGTTTTCTCTATTATTTATTATTTTGGCCCTTTATTCTCTATTCTCTATATTTTAACACTCCATTTTCCTCTATTCCTTCTTGTTTTGGCCCATTATTCCCTATTCTGTAAAGGGAAAGAAAGAAGGGTACCTGTGAATGACCAAGGGCTTTTTGGTCCGTATATGTACATTGGGCGCAGGAAGACGATAGAGAAAAATAATTCATGCTACACGTCAAACGCTGTGTTTAAATGCAAGTACAATAATTATTACAGTTGGATCAGTTCTAACTTTATATTAGAGCTGTCATAGAACTGGAATTAGTTCTACCCTAGAACTGTTCTATGGTAGAACTGTCACATTAGTTCTAGAGTATAACGGTCACAAACAGTTCCGTCAAAATTATCTCTTGGTTAAATATTTCCAAAAACTGTGTAAGGTTAGGACTGACCAATTTGTTTTAGGTATCAACTAACTTAAACTGTTTCATTAAATAGAACCTATTTGTTAGGTACTGCTTTTAAGATGTCATGGAAACTGTTGTACAGACTCTATAATATACATGATATAGTTCCGGACAGATGTTTAGAGAGGTTAGAACGCATTCCAACTGTGCATAAATTAGAATAACGCAATGCCGAACATCAATCAATTAAAACGACCTTGTACGTTAATTCATTCATAAAGGTATGAAATTTTCTCAGAGAACATCTGAAGTATAAAAACGTGTCGTAATGATAAATTACCTAAGTATTCACCTTTTCTGGACAGGTTTGACACATACATATTTAGTTATGTATGTAAAGGTAAACTTTCATTGTCTGCTGAAGCAATAAATCTGACTACTGTAAAAGACTGAATTTATTTAGTCAACAAGTTCGACGAATTGATCGAGATGATTTCCTATTCAAGAGCCGACAACATCTTGTCAAAGGTAAAATTCACATTTTTCAATTCGAAGAGAAAATATTTCAGTTCAATAATGACCGATATTGAAACTGACATAACCATGCATTACATTTAAAGCAATATGGTGGAGAGTTAGTATGTGTGTTATACTGAATAGTACTTCAAACCGAGTTTAACAATACCATTGAAAGTTCCCAATCTAACTAATTACAGACGATTGTGTGTAATTTGCTATTCAAAACTCGGTTTTCGGTTCATATTCTACCATTTTTAGCTATCGAGACCGAATTCACGGATTCAGCAGACCATATTACTTTAGATTCATATCAGTTCTATTACCAGAAAAAAAAACTGTTTTACTATACGTTGATTCTGGCATTTACATATTTAATAGCAAACTTGGCCCCTGTATCCTTAGACTGACAAGTTATTGTGCCCGCCTGACATCTTCAAGCATCCGTCTGTAAATTCATGTAGATGTTTCAAACCTACCAACAAAAATATATTTTCTTATTATATATCAGATATATCTAAGCTGTAATAGGAAAACTTTCCAATTAAGATATTCATTTTTTTGCTCAACATACGTACTGATGATAGTTGTATGCCCCACAAACACAAAAATGACGATATATAACGTCGTCTGGAATAAAAACTTTAATTGAAAGATAACGATTGGAATCAAGCGTATTTAGTGGACATCCGGGTAAACTAATCGATTTTTGAATAAACTTATTCATATAGGTAGCAATTCAACACTGTAACAAGATCTATCGGTATAAATATTGATTTTGTTATCAGTAAAATTAAAACCCAACTAAATATTATTGTTATGCACATATGTACATTCACGGTCCTATAAACTGTCGATACTTATAATTTTGCATTGCAAAAGGTCATGTTGTTTCTGACTGTTTACTGACGTCTTAACACAATTGGAAGTTGGATGTGTACTGATTGATATGTTAGTCTTAGATATATGATTTTTTATAAGTTGTTATTGGCCTTGAACTATCTTTCAGTAACTGCGAGTACTCTCAGATCTGTACTGTGCGTCTTTTGTGTTTTTGTTGGTTGTTCTTGTGTTTTGTATCGATCTGATAAGTTGAGCCTTTTCAACTGATTTTTATAGTTTGGTCTTGTGTTGTGCTGTTACACAAATGTCCCAGGTTAGGGCAAGGTTGGCATATTAGTTTTTCGTGATTGTTTTGAACATACATCAGGCCGTTAGTTTTCTCGTTTGAATTTTTCACATTTGTCATTTCGGGGATTTTTATAGCTTGTTATACGGTATGGGGATTGTGGATTGTTGAAGGCCGCACGGTGACAGAAAGTTGCTATCCATCTACGTCATTTTGGTCTCTGGTAGAAAGTTGTATCATTGACAATCATACCACCTCTTCTTATTTTCATACTATGAACACTTGTTACCGTGAAAACAACATTTTTAAAAACAAAATTTACTTTCAATTATCTTATGATATTATCCAAAATGATATTATCCAATGATATTATCCAATGCGGCGCATTATCGACCATCAGAGCCCGCCTGAAGATGTATATATTAACAAATACTATAGTAGATGGTTATATTCTTTTAATTTATTACAAAATATACAATCATATGAAAACACAAAAATATATGATCAAGTGATAAAATTAAGATATACAATTTGGTGATAACTAAAATATAAACAATTACATGCTAACATTAGAATAACCAATCATATGATAAAAATAACATATTCTATCGGGTGATCACATCAAAATATGTAATTGCTTTTCGAATAACATCAAAGGAAAAACCAATAAATATAGCACTATAAAGACAACTTTAGTTTCATTTCCCGAAACTCATATTATTATTGTAACTGTTATGATATAATGTTTTATTTATACCCATAATTCATATAGAAGAGATGATGAGCAGAGGTTAAACAAAATGAAGTAAAAAATAATTATAAAGTCATTTGATTAAGAAACACATATATTTGGAAAGGTATAAGACTGAACATAACATACATGTATTTTTTTCTTTACAGAAAAACCTCAAGCATGCAACCAATCATTTTTGAGGTTTTGAGGCAATTGAAATTGGTATCTGCTATTTCTTTCTATAATTTCTTTACACATAGTATATAAGTTTCTATTTAACATTTGTTTCAATTGTGTAATACATTTGAACTGAATTTCTTAAAAAGGAGATGTTTGATAACTACAGTCCGAATTATTCCACCACCGTTAATGGTGACTTCTGTCATTTGTGCAATATAGGTAGTAGTTCATTAAACATATGTAACATTTTAAAATTTAGAAATATGCATACAAATATATTGTTGTAGATTGAATGTTATATAACAAAATAAGTGTTGGCTGCTTCTTTTAAATTTTATATTTAGTACAACAATTTTTATTGTTCTATTTTCTTGCTTTTTTCTAATTTTATAGAATGTGAAATGTTTACATTGTCCAAAAATACTAACCGTCCTTTTCATAATTGATATAACAACACCTATTATATATATAAAATTTTTTTGGTATATGTTATATGTATATTCTTTAAATGAACTGCGTCGAATAGAAATCAACCTTATGTGAATGAATGTCAAAACATCTGTTAACTTAAATCGGGTTGCAAAAATCTCTACGCAAAGTCTGGAACTGTTTGAAAATTTAGTTGAACCCTACAAAACAGACCCAAATTCATCGTTTATATCGCATTTGAATGTTCCAATGTCAATCAAAGTCTTATACATGTACATGTATACGTGCACTTGCATAAGGTCGATTTCTATCCGACGCAGCTCTAATGTTAGCAAACATGTAGGTTGAAAACACCCACGTACCTTAATGTATAATTATAGAATACGGTTATGTTGACATGGTAGATTCGAACATACTTCAATAGCGTCATTCTTTAGCAAACTATGTATATTGGCGTCAGCGAAATCAATTCTATTTCTCTCTAAAAAAAATATAACATTTGTGATACGAAACGAAAGACCAATGGGATATATTTCCTTTAGAAAGGTACAAAATGACAGCCTCTTTTTCATATTAAAAGGGTTGTTGTAACCAATTTTTTGAAATCATAAAAATGTTATATGTATCAAGATTATCTGTTTTCCTTCTAAACAAAGTAAAAATGATCAGTCCACAAATACAAATCTATTACGACCTAGATATAACTCTTTATTCGTCCTTGACAGTATTCTAGCCAAAAATGTATGACAATAAATTATCACGGCATTAAGATATATTTAATGGCGGAGCTTAAAACTATAACTAACCTTCACCAAAGAATAAAAGCAGTTCGTATATTCAAAGTTTTAGCATGATTGTTATTCTTTTTAATTGGACACTTTTGTCGTCGATATTGATCGGTTTGTCTAAGTTTAGTCACAAGGCTGTCTTTATAAACGTATTTATACATTGGGTATGTAGCTGAATTTTGTCTCCGAAAGAACATAGAGCTATCTCCGAATAACCTTTTGATGTCAAGCTACAATCCTTTTATAATTATTACGTCAAATATTTAAATTGTGACTCAAAATGTTACGGGAACTTGTTTGACTTCAATTAAAGGCGGACAAATTTGCATAAAAGTGTAAATAAGTCTATTGCCTTCCTTTGATTTACTTCGTGATGCTTTGATTCAACCTAGTTCTCGGTATTAAAGTTACTAAATTTGCAAACATTTGGCCATTACATCAAATGCACAGTTGCAAGTTATTCACAAGATATGAACATATTCTTAGGGAAATCAATCCGACTTTGTCTAGTCATTACAATGCTGAAAGGATATTAAGTTTGTGACTTATCCAAAACACCAGATTTAAAGTGATATTTGGAATTTTGAGGAATATAATGTAGAGAAAATTGTAAAAAATATAATCTCTTGAAACAATGATTTAGTAACAGACAATTTTTTTTTATAAATGCAGCATTTAGGCTATCACAGTTGCAAAAGTAAAGGTTTTTGGTGGTGGTGGGGAGGGGGAGTTATATTTTGCTAGGCTGTGGTCAGTTAGGATTTATGGTGTGTACACGAGTAAAACGTGTTTTAAAAAACAAAGAGTTAGTTAATAAGAGAGTAAAACTCATATAATACTGATGATTAAAAAAAAGCTGATATTTAGTAAAAGAAAACAAATATATACAACTGAGAAGTAGGTCTAGAGCACAGATGTTTCTAAACAAGTCAGGAAGATATAATATACAAAATACAAAACAATTTCATTAATGTTCAGTTGATGAATTGTGGAAAAGGAAAACATGTCCATTAAATCATAAATATGCATAAAAATAACACAAAAGTGTCGGTCAAACAAACATAAAAATTACACAAAAATATCAATCATATATTGTCAGAACACGTCGACGAACCCCGGAAGATGCAGACCTGTCCGATTTGATTTTGTTCATTCTACTTCTAAATTTCCCCAAAAGCTTTGTACACAATCCTGTCGTGTGAATAATTCTAACATCAAACCCGTCTTCTTCCATCCATTTCTTGTCTTTGTCAAGTTTATACCCTGAAATGATAAAAGAATAGTTATTTATTAAGTACAGAATGATTTGATTTATCTTTTATTAAAGTTGCATGAAACGCAGACACATCCGTCGCCTCAATCTTGATAAAAAAAGTACACGCAGATTATGGCGAAGTTTCTGTTAATGTGCTTTAAGAGAAACTTATTGTTTCAGTCGGTTTTAAATGGAGAGGCGGGAGTTTTTTTTTTGTGCTCTCACTGAATACGGATAATCTTTAAAAGTCATCTACAGTTTAAGTTTTTTATATATGCCTATATGTATTCTGCTGAATACTGCAATACATTCATGTTTTGTGTTTGTTTAATAATAATTGAATACAAGATACACAAATTGTGTTTTATATTGTGGATATCATTATCATCATCATCATCATCATCATTGCAAAATATATAATAAAATAATATTTGGGTTTGATGGGATAATACATTGGGTGTATATTTACCCTTTTCTTATAGACAAATGCATATTGAAGTGTTAAAGCAAGTGGTGGTAGAATTAAACTCTTTGTTTTTGTAAGATCTTTACCCTCATAATTTGAAAGCGAATTACGTGTAGTATTCGGAAGTGTATTCATTTCCTGCTTATCTTTCAGCTCTGCGCCACTTCGATGAAGGTCAACAAAACAAATTCACATCGAAAAACGAAGCAAGTTACATTATTTGGACACGTAACGTTTCTGCTAGTGTTTCTGAACTTGCTAATGATTAAAATACCAATAAGATAATTACAAAAAAAAAACAATATGTTACCTGCTTTCATTAATCGCTGCACAGTCTTTACACAATTAGGTTGTTTGTTATTTATCGTCTGGAAAAGTGCACTTTGGCCAAAATCATCTACAATATTGACGTCACATCCGTGTTTTATTAAATATCTTGCAGCCTGAGACTTCCCGTCTAGTAAGCACGACAGTAAAGGAGTTCTTCCTGTTTTATCTACACTGTCTAAATTGGCTCCTATAATTCAATTATAAAAATAAAAATTATAAGGAAAACAATAATAGTAATACTGATTCAATAATAACAGTAATATTTAATTAATTAATTAACTATTCATCTAACAATGATATCGATAAGAATTATGAGGAGGAAGAGGAGGAGGAGGAGGAGGAGGAGGAGGAGAGGAAGAGGCGGAGGAAGAGAAAGAGGAGGAGGATTGTAAGGAACTATTGAATATGAAATGTTTACCACTGGGCGTAGAGCAAACCATAATAAATTAATCAATACAGCGACCTTTTCAATTTTAATCTTATAAGTGAAGTGAATTCTATCTAATCCGAAGGACGCTTTGTCTGAAACGTAACTTATGCAATATAAGACAATAATGAATTTAAGTATGATCTCTTGATTTTAGAAAACATTATAACGAATAATAGACTATCTAAATATTATATACATTATCTACAATATTTAAAATAGCAATATAAAATGCATCTTTTTTGTAATAACATTTTATTGATGATTTCGGCAGTATAAAAGTACATATTTGCAAAACAACTAGAGATCAAAGCGCCCAAAAATAATTGTCAACTTATTTATCTCAAAAGGTCCACAAGTCACTTTGAATATAATTTGCATTTTTTCATTTTTCATTTACAACAAACTTAAGTGTTAAATTGTAGTGTCCATAGTACACGGATGCCCCACTCGCACTATCATTTTCTATGTTCAGTGGACCGTGAAATTGGGGTCAAAACTTTAATTTGGCATTAAAATTAGAAAGATCATATCATAGGAAACATGTGTACTAAGTTTCAAGTTGATTGGACTTCAACTTCATCAAAAACTACCTTGACCAAAAACTTTAACCAAAATTTTTAACCTGAAACGGGATAGACGGACGGACGGACGAACGAACGAACGAACGAACGGATGGACGAACGAACGGACGCACAGACCGAAAAATATAATGCCCCTAGGTGGGGCATAACAACGATTTTTCCAAAAAAGTTGAATGACAATATGTAGTTGAGGTGTAGGCTGGTCCTCTCCCTTGCAACAAACTGGTATCTCAGATACCTTTTCTGTCAGAGCCAAACAGATAAAGGACAAGGAACCAGTGTAGTTGAGGTGTAGGTACTATTTAACGTAAAGCGTGGTGAGATTCAAAGCAATGTAAACTATAAAATAATTGTCTATTGTCGCAAAAGTATTTACAATAGTAATTTTACCAATAAAAAAAAAATACAGTTTACCAACAATAACTGCCAAGATTATACATGTGTCTATCTTGTACAGAATGACACTAAAGCTGTTAACACATGTGTCTATCTTGTACAGAATGACACTAAAGCTGTAAACACATGTGTCTATCTTGTACAGAATGACACTAAAGCTGTAAACACATGTGTCTATCTTGTACAGAATGACACTAAAGCTGTAAACACATGTGTCTATCTTGTACAGAATGACACTAAAGCTGTAAACACATGTGTCTATCTTGTACAGAATGACACTAAAGCTGTAAACACATGTGTCTATCTTGTACTGAATGACACTAAAGCTGTAAACAATTACACTTAAAACGACAAATCTGGACAAAATACAAGTTAACGCTAGGTCGAGTCACCTGCAATCTTTTGACATTACAGCGTCTTGTCATCTCCCCAACTGGTATAAACTGGAAATATACCTTTCTTAATTCATATTTATATTTTATTTAACCTTGAAAAAAGGGAGAAAAAACTGTCTTTTTGTTTTCGTTCATTCAACCGTATACATTTATCAATCTTAAACAGAATGACACTAAACTGTAAGCAATTATACTAAAAATGACAAATCTTGGGAAAATACATCTATAGGCCAAGATCACACTAGGTCGGGTCACCTTCAGTCTTTTGACAGTACAGCGTCTTACAAACTCCACAACTGATGTAAACTGGAAATATACCTTTCTTATTTCATTTTTATATTTTATTTAACAATGAGCGATCCCGTACAACTTTTTAATTTTTAAATCGAACGGGTATCATTTAGATGAACAATGCACAGTATTACATATTAACTGTTTGTAATTATGTTTGTGGTCTCTCATTTGCATGTCGAATAAACACAAGTACATTTCTTTTCCTCCTAAATCTTAGAACAAATAATCAAATAAAATAGTATGTATATCCTTTTCAATTACAACAATAAGCACGAATTTGTTTTCAAACTAAGAAATTTTGAATAAAACAATATATGAAAACAATTACGTGTCCCACTTCAGAACCATAAAAGGATGAATAGTTGGGTCCAAAAAATTACAATATATAATCGTTTAAGTTATTGCAGAAACAACTAAAAGTCTTCTACATTTCCATTATACATATACATGTAAAGCTATTCGTTAAGGGACTCGTTATTTTTTAAGACACATTTTGTGCATTGTGAAATTCTTTATTTTTGCGGTTTAAAATTTTTTAGAAGTCTGGGTTTAGCTGCATGTTTTTGAGAAACAAAATATTGACACAGAGATATGTCATTCTGGTAGTAAAATGCTAATTTTGCAATTAAAATAGTAATACTTTTATGTAATTTAAGCAAAATATTTTTGGTCAATGAATCGTAACAGAGGGCACAGGGCCGAATATTCTCCGTGGAAATAAGTCATGCCAGTGCTTATACAACTGAATGCTAAATATCATAGACTTTTCATGAGTGGTTCCCCATACTTTGTCCCGAAATTTCACATGTAATTTACATACATGTACATAGACGACACGACCACACATATTTATAATTTTATTCAGTCCACTTGTTTTAGTGTCCATATAAAAACTAATCAATGATAACCTAAATTTCTATTGTCAAGTCTTTCTATAGAAATATCTGACGGTGTCCTCTTACTCCTGCATTTAAGATTGGTGTTGTTTGACATCGAAATGCAGAATTTGTATATGGTCTAAAATTATTTATCATAGTAGATGTTCCTTTAAGATCGTTTATCGATGGGCGCAACGAAGAGAATTTTGTGGAAACACTCAAAAAAAAGAAGAAGAAAAGAACCACCATATTTTAGAATGATCTAGAATGGTTGCACTGATATAGTTGAACTCTCTTTCGGTCAACCGAAATAAATATATATTATGAAGGGACATCTGTTCTATTTACAAAAAAAAGTATTATATTAACCTAGTAGCTGTATTCATGAATTACGGAAATGTATATAAACACAGGACTTTATTATCTCCTTGTCCAACTATCAATTAATAATCCATATTCATATATATCACTTAAGGTCGTCTAAGGTCGCCAGGGTTAAACCCGAAAGAGATTTCACGCATAACAAAGTATTAGATCCGATTTATGGTGTTTTGTTAGTTTTTCAAATAATTTTCTTCACAGTCACAGGACACAGTCTGATATTTCTATAGGAAGGCTTGATACACCCCCCCCCCCCCCCGCCTTCTCTCTCTCTCTCTCTCTCTCTTTGTTTAGTTATTTATTATTTGTATGTAATGGAGAGGACGTCCTAAGATGCAAAACTTGTGACTGGTCCTATTGTCATTGTTTTTGGACAATAAGATATGTTTAAACACTAAAAACCAACCCCCCTTTTCAAAGATCCTTTGGATCGAAATATTAGATCACTATTTTCTATAGATATAAGAAGATGTGGTATAAGTGCCAATGAGACAACTCTCCATCCAAGTCAAAATTTATAAAAGTAAACCATTATAGGTCACAGTACGGTCTTCAACACGGAGCCTTGCCTCACACCGAACAGTAAGCTATAAAGCGCCCCAAAAATTACTAGTGTAAAACCATTCAAACGGGAAAACCAACGGTCTAATCTATATAAAAAACGAGAAACGAGAAACACTTATGAACCACATCAACAAACGACAACTACTGAACATCAGATTCCTGACTTAGGACAGGTGCAAACAAATGCAGCGGGTTTAAACGTTTTAATGGTACCAAACTTTGCTTTTATTTTTTTGTGTATGTTTGGACTTGGTGTTTTTGTCTGTAAGCTTTAGTGGTTGTTCCTTCTGTTGATCAAATACACTTTAATTGCTGTTAACAAACCAATATTGCATTATAGTTTGGTTTTGTAAGTTTTACACGTAAAAAAAACTTAATGGCTCCTTTCAAAAATTTATATCTACATAATTGACACTTTTTTGTAATAGTTTTCTAACAATAATAATTCATTGCACTCACTCAAGATGAAACATCCTTGTGATAAAATGAAACATTGAATAGTTAGGTTTTACAAGGACAAGCTCGATGTTTTAGCATAGTATTTACATAATTATTTAGTTTAACTTAACATATAATTTACAATGATTTTTTTCTGGTTTTCCGTATAACCGATTTTTCTTTGCCTGGGGAATGTTATATAGACAAAAACATATATTTCACCTGGCGTCCTGACCCTTTGTGTCAAGAAATCATACATCCTTGTTTGTTGATGCTTGACATTGTTATACATATTTCCTTAAATGATGTTGTGAATCATTCACAATGTTTTTTTCACTGGTATAACTCACGTGTGTCTGTACAACGTCACGTGTTTATGTTAAAGGCTTCGTTCGCACTACCCATTTGAAACATGTTTTGTACACACTAGTTTCGAAATAAAACTCATCAATTGTTTGACATGCATTCAATTCTATATTTAAAAGTCAATAAGCAGCTTCAAATTTGTTGAAAATCAATACATTGATACTTTGAAATGAATATGCCAAAATCAAATTAAAGTTGTTTTTAAAAAACTGGTTTTAGCTTCAGTGTCAAGTGTCCTACAAACAAAACGTACATGTATATAACTGTAAACACGTTGGTTATTCATTGTTTTGCGTATCATTTCACAGAGGGTTTGTGTTTCTGAATGGCGCCATAGCGATTAAATTATCACTATGAAAATAAAAAGATGTGATATGATTGCCAATGAGACAACTATACACCAAAGACCACATTACACCGATGTGAACAACTGCCGGACAGGCCTTCTACAAGAAGAAAATTTA